GGAATTAACTAAAACCCAAATGGTGGGGCACATTTGTGAGGGAAGTCATTTGCAGTGGGAAAACCCACTTCTATACTATATCTTTGAGGTGGGAAGATAAACCTTTAATCCAGATCTTTTGAACTGGTAAAATCAACCTTTAATGTGTGCCACACCTTCTTCTGGTAGCCTATGGAAAGGATTTGGTAGAAGGAAGCTTGCTCTCTCTTTGCTTGATCTCGCTTTCACTATCAGTCCATTCCTTTACTGGCATTAGGGTTTATTTCTTCAGGATTCTGGCATATACTAAAGACCAGCTGAGACATCCAACCTTGTAGACTAAACAAGTACTGGATTCGGACTTTCCATTGGTAGACAGCCATTGTTGTGCTAACTGGACCACAGCCTGTAATCCATCCTAAGGAATCCCCTTTCTCTACCTTCCATATGTATGTATGTATGTATGTATGCATATAGATATAGATATGGACTATATATAGATATAATAAAGAGATAACAGGCTAAGGTTGCGTAGTCAGAAAGTATTGGATTTATGCAATGTTTCAGTATATATCTAAGTAACATCTTAAGTTTTATGTCTGTTTTCTAGTTAATTTTCATTACATTTATTTGCATGTGGTGCCAGGCACCCATGTGGTGGTCAGAGAATTGCTTGGGGGAATTGGTTAACTCTTTCAGCCATGTGCATCCAGGAATCAACTCACGATTTCAAGCTTGGCAGCAAGAGCTTTTGCCTGCTGACCCAGCATGCCCACCCCTGTAGCATGAATCATTAGCAGGTCTTAGTAAAAAAACATGGAGGCAGATACTGGGGTGTAATCTGAAAGATCAGAGAAGCAGAACAAGCCATACTCAACCTTACCTTAACAACTCTTTATCCGATCCTGTTTCCACAAATCCTCAGACTGAAAGCTTCTGAGTCCTCACCTGAATGGATCTCAGCTGAACTGCTGCTAAAATCCTAAAAGCTTAAAGGCCTCTAGTTCCTGGTCCTCATGCCTTATGTACTTTTTTGCTTCCTGCCATCACTTCATGGGATTAAAGGCATGTGTCTTTCCCAAGCAAGACATGAGATCTCAAGTGCTGAGATTAAAGGTGTGTGCCACCATGCCTGGCTCTGTTTCCAGTGTGGCTTTGAACTCAGATATCAGGATGGATCTCTGCCTCCAGAATGCTAGGATTAAAGGCGTGTGCTACCACTGCCTGACCTCTATGTTTAATATAGTGGCTGTTCTGTTCTCTGACCCCCAGATAAGTTTATTAGGGTGTACAATATATCAACCACAAAAGCCTATGTCAGCAGGTCTGGCTAATTGCACAACATAGGCAACTCCTGTTGACTTTAAGCAAAATAAGTTTGACATAAAATGAAATATGCAAGGTGGGGCACAGCCTAGTGGGTAAATGCTTGCTGGTGTCTGCTGGACAGACACAGAGTTTGAATTCCATAATCTGGACACAGTAGCATGTATATGAAATCCCAGCACTCCTGTGAGGCAATAGGACAGGGACAAAGGAATCCATGGAAGTTCATGGGCTTGAGATACTATCTCAGATAAGGTGAGAGGTGAGGATCAACACCAGAGTTTGTCCTCTAACATGTTCCATGGCACACATTTAAAACACACACACACACACACACACACACACACACACACACACACACACACACACACACAGTGGGATGGTTGACTTCATGATACAGCTATACAGAGTCTTTAGAAAGACAGATATATGAAAATAGGTAAGAGAATGATTGTGACTTTGGGCAAGACTGAGCATGGACAGATGGAGATTAGAGAGCACAAAACTGAAGTTATATAGAAAAACCGTGTCCAGAGCTTTAATGTGCAACGTAGAACTCCCGTCAGTAATACCATGCTATATAATGGAAACTGAGTAAGCCAGATTTCAGGTTTTGTAATACCCATAAAATTGTAACTATGTGAAATAGCGTGAGGTATTCATCAGCATTGTCAACTGGACTGGTTCTAGAGTAACCTAGAAGACACAGTTCTGGGTATGTCTGTGAGGGTATTTTCAGACTTTAATTCAGGAAAGAAGATCCACCCTAAACATGAGTGGAACCAAACTCATAGGAACTCATGAACTTTAGACCGACAACTGTGGAGCCTGCATGGGACCAGACTAGACCCTTGCATACAGGAGACAGTTGTGTAGCTGGGTCTGTTTGATGGGCCCTGGCAGTGGGATCAGGATCTATCCCTGGTGCATGAACTGGTTTTCTAGATCCCATTACCTATGGTCAGACACCTTGCTCACCCTTGATGCAGGGGGAAGAGGCTTGGTGCTGCCTCAACTGAATGTACCATTCTTTGCTGTACCCCCATGGGAGAACTTATCCTTTTGGAGGAGGGGAGGAGGGGTATGGGATGGGGGTTCAGTGGCAGTGGTAGGAGTGGGAAGAAAGATGAGAGGGGGATCTGTAGCAGGAATCTTAAAAGTTCTTATTAATAAAATCAAACCCGGAGCCAAGTATTGGGGTGAACACTGGAAGATCAGAAAGACAGAACAAGCCACAGCTAACCTCACCTGGCCAACTTCTCAAGCTGATCTTGTTTCCTCAGAATGGAAGCCTCTGTGTCCTCATATCCGAATGGCTCTCAGCTGAACTGCTGCTCAAAACCTAAAAGCTTAACCAGCCAAATGCTTCTAGTTTCTGGTCCTCACGCCTTATATACCTTTCTGCTTTCTGCCATCACTCCCTGGGATTAAAGGCTCGCTTTCTGGGATTAAAGACATGAGTCACCATGCCTGTCTATATCCTTGAACATATGGATTTCTGCCTCTGGAATGCTAGGATTAAAGGCGTATGCTACCACTGCCTATCCTAAGTATCTAGTGGCTTTTCTGTTCTCTGACCCCAGATAAGTTTATTAGGGTACACAATATTTTGAGGAACACAATACCACCACAGGGATCTGTGGTTGGTATGTAAAAGTATGGTGATATTTTATTTGTGCCGAAATGTGACTTTATTTGTATGTTAATAAATAAAGTTGCCTGGGGGTCAGAGCTAATAGCAAGCCATTTAGCAGAAGTCTGGCAGTGGTAACACACTCCCTTAATCCGATCACATGGCAGGCAAAGTCTCTGAGTGTTCAAGGACAGAGCCAGCATGGAGACACATGCCTTTAATCCCATACCAACCACAAAGACCTAGAGGTCTGTATAGGCTGGCAGTGACAAGGAAGTCATGTGGTTGGGTTTAGAACCAATGAGAAGGCAGAACAGAAAGGCAATAAAAAGACAGGTCACACAGGAGAAGGTCTCTCCGAGGTGAAGGACAGCAGCGACTGGTAAGCTAAAGGCTTGGCTAGTGCTCTGACCTCTTGGGCTTTTAACTCTTTATTTGGCTCTGTGTTTCTTATTTAATAAGACCGTTTAGAATTACATCTACATAAAATGAATAAAAAAGTTTTTTAAATAAAATTAAAAAAACATAAGTGGTGCCATCCAATGGCCTGAGGTCTCAGACTGAATAAGAAGAAACGAAGGGGTGGGGGGTGAGTAGAACTTCAACACCATCTTGCTGTTTTCTGACTGCAGATACAGTGTGAGCATTTGCCTCACATTCCTGCTGCCAAGTCTTCTGAATGCCCCCTCAAACTGTGAACAAAAGAAACTCTTTCCCTAAGTTGCTTTTGACAAGTATTTTACTAGTGATTAGAAAAGTTACACATGATAGCTGTTAATCTGTAAAAATCATTTTATTATATATGCATATCAAAACACTGTATTATATATCTTTACACAGGTAAGTATAGTCCTCACCTGCATCAAGGAAACTTGTTTTTACAACAGACACCATCACAGAAAACCACAACCAATCAAGACACAGAGTTGTGGAGTCCAGTCCCAAGGGATACACATATAACACAACTCCTGAAATTAAGGTTTAGGGATCATTGCTAAGAAGGGGCAGAAAGATTATAAAGCCAAAACAAACAAACAAACAAACAAACAAACAAAACAAAACAAAATGGAAAATGGGGAGTTTGCTGTGAGATTGTGCCTTCTAAGACTATCAGAAGCCACAATAGTTTTTAAAACATTGTAGATAAAATACAAGAATGTGAGGTAAATTCAGGACAAGCACCAAAATGACACAGAGAAACCCTATCTTGAAAAACCAAAAACAAAAAAAAAAAAAGAATGTGAGGTAACTAGAAAATGATGGGTTGGAAGTTACGAATTACTTGGTGCTCTTCCAGAGGACCTGGGTTTGGTTCCCAAAACCTGAATGACAACTCCCAACTGTCTATAACTCTAGTTCCAGGAGATCTAATACCCTCTTTGACTTCCATGGCCACCAATCCCACACACTGTTCATAGACATACATGCAGGTAAAACACTCATATACATAAACAAAATAAAATAGTGAATGAATATAGGACTATAAAGAGCAACAGAAAAAAATCTTTTCTCATCTCAAACTCAATTTCTCATCTCTAAAATAATTTACTGGGGCTAAAAAATGGTTCAATACTTGAGAGCACTCTCCCAGAGGGTCCAAGATTGGTTCCCAATACCAGTGTATGATGGCTCACAACTGCCTATAACTAGAGCTCCAGGGAATACAATACCCTTTTATAGCCTCTTCATGCACCTGTTCTCATATGCACATAGCAACACACAGACACACATAATTAAAAGTAATTTGTTATGTTTATGCTTCCATGTACGTCTATGTACCTAGTGTCTTTGGAGACTAGAAGACGGCATTCAATCCCCTTGTTGTAAACTGCTATGTAGATACTGGGAATTAAACCTAGGTCCTCTGGAAAGCAGCAAGTGCTCCTAGTCACAGAGTCATCTCTCCAAGCCCTAAAATAATTTTAAAAAATAAAAATTACTGGCTGGATGATATGGTTCTATGGTAGGGCATTTGCCTGGTATGAGTGGGAAGTTCAGTTTGATCTTCAACATAGAGGAAGAGGTGGGTAGAGTAAGAGAAAGAAAGAAATTATCATTTGTATTAATTTTTTCCATTGCATGGAGAATTTTAATAAAGATTGTCAAGTTTAAAGTTTCAAGGTCTCAAAAAAAGCAACCAAAGACACCGAAAAGAAGTGTCAAAACAATTCTGCATTTCATCGGCAGTATCTTCTCCCCAGCTTCCCCTCCCTGTTTATAAGTTTGCCCTCCTTGACCCCCTCGCTTTCTCTGCCTCATTTGCTAGCCTGTGTTCAATCAGTGCAACTGCCAGTCTTTCTCTTGCTATTTTCACTTTCTTTTCCTGCTTGCTAATATCTTCTTCGGTGACGAGGATTTGATTGCAAAGGATCTGTGGGATACTTGCTTCTGGAATCATCTCTGACAAATGTGAAGATGACTCATGGGTGGTCATGGGCCTAGAACCGATGCTGTTGGCTTGAGTCTCTGAAACAGATGCATCTGTGCCTCTAGGTGTAAGGTCTTGCAAAGCTTTGGCTAGATCTGAAGTGGTCAAAAGTTCTCCTGCACTGCTGTAGGCCTGGAGTCCTTGCAGTCTCTTCTGCCAGCAGGCTTGTTGGGGCTTGTCCAGGCTCTCCTCCCAATGATGATATCTTACCTCATTGCCAGGATGGGATGTGATCCTAGTGACTGGCCTCTTGAATGTATAACTAGACATTCTCAAGGGGATTGAGGTGTTTAAACAAGGCTTTGGCTTTGATAGGTTCTCATAGTCGAATTGCTTCCTCTGTGAAGTCTTGCCCATCTGACTCCTTTCTTAATCCTATTAGCATAAATGATAAAATTGGAATAATGTGATAAAAGCTGCCTTCTTGTATTATCCATGTGATACTTACCAACTAGCAATGCTGCTTTTACCTTCCACCTTCCCTCTATCTCTCTGGTGATAGATCTGACCTGTATTCAGGGACATCATTAAGCAGATCTAAGCTGAGCGCAGAAAGCTCCAAGTCAAAATTCTCCAACCATTTGGCAAAACTCTGTCCCTGCTTGAGTGTATTTTTATTCTCTCTGGATCCACTGCCAAGAGCTTGAGACCTCAGATCCCCTGTCATGATACACAGTCCTGTCTTCCTCCAAGTCTCTAATTTTGCCATTCTTCTATGTTATTTGATAATGAATATGTTATGAACCACTTGATTTTCATAGCTCCTTTAACATTTAAATCAACAGTGAGATTAGATTGTAAGAGCCAGAGGTTGGGAAAGAGTGTTACAGAAACAGCATTTTCTGAACACAACAGGGCCATTGCAATCAGGAACTCACAATAACTCTAATTACTCGCACAAAACCTGTACAAGATCAGTTCAGCAAACATTCCAGCACAGACGTGGGGAAGCTCATGGCAGTTGATGGCTGCTGAGGGAGGAACAGTAAGTTTTCTTCAGGGATGTGGCCTCTGATGGGTTGCTTCATTGGATGGCCCTACATCCATGCACATACTGGAAGCACTAATAACTTTCAGTAGATTTAAAAAGAAGGGCATGGAGTTGGAAGGGAGAAGTGGTGAGGGTATTTGGGTGAAGCTGGGGGGGTGAAATGAAAGATGATATGATCAATACATTTCATACATGTATGAAACTTTCAAATAATAAATATGTATTTTAAAAAATTAATAGCAAAACTACCAACAATATCATTCTTGAAAAATCACCACAAGACCTGAGACACATTATTCAACCCAAAAGGTCATGCTCAAAATAGTTTAGAAAACCTATTCACAGCAGAGCAGAAAGAAAATAAAGAAGAATGGAAGGCAAGAAGGAAGACAGGAAAGAAGGAAAAGAGGAAAGAAGGAAGAGAAGGAGAGGGAGGGAGGGAATGAGAAATGAAAAAAGGGAGGTACGGAGGGAGGGAAGGAGAAAGAAAGGAAAGAAGGAAGGAAGGGAGGGAGGGAGAGAGGGAAGGAGGAAGAAAGAAAGGAAGGAAATAAGGGAGGGAAAGAAGGAGGGAGGGAAGGAGGAAGGAAGGAAACAAGGGAGGGAAGGAAGGAGGGAGGGAAGGAAGAAGGAAGGAAACAAGGGAGGGAAGGAAGGAGGGAGGGAAGGAAGGAAGGAAGGAAGGAAGGAAGGAAGGAAGGAAGGAAGGAAGGAAGGAAGGAAGGAAGGAAGGAAGGAAGGAAATGTATTCACTTACCACCAGATTTTGATTTCTAGTGTTTTTTTGCTAGATTTTATGTAACAGTACATGGCACATAAATATTTCTCAAGAACAAAAGTTTACTCCAGAATACTTGCCTCCCTTTTTCACTTACTAATGTTTATTAATATGTATTACACAAAGGGGCTTCACTGTGGCATTTCCATATTCACAAATAACGTACTTTGATCACAGTCACCACTGCTATTGTTCTTTTTTTTGTTGTTGTTGTTGTTTTTTTTTTTGTTGTTGTTGTTGTTTTTGTTTTGTTTTGTTTTTCGAGACAGGGTTTCTCTGTGTAGCTTTGCGCCTTTCCTGGAACTCACTTGGTAGCCCAGGCTGGCCTCGAACTCACAAAGATCTGCCTACCTCTGCCTCCCTAGTGCTGGGATTAAAGGCGTGCACCACCACCACCCGGCATATTGTTCTTTATTATGCCTCCTCTCCCTCCTCCTTTCCCCATTTCCCTTCTACATCTCTCATGTTTCCCTTTTTCATGTTATATTTTTTTTTTATTTAAAACACACTTCCCGTGTTGAGGTGGCTCTGAAGGTAAGGGCCCTTGCTGCTGAGCCTGATAATCTGAGCATCGCCTCACACAAGCTGTCTTATGACCTCCACATGCTTGTCATGGCAAACATATCTATACACCCCTTACACTCAAAAAAAAAAAATGTTAAAACTGCTTTAAATATCGAGTTTCCACACGAGAGGAAATACGGCATTTGTCTTTTCTTTGGGGTGTGTATGTGTAGAATGTGCATGTGCTTATGTCTTTGCATGTGTGTGCACATATGCATGTGTGCCTGTGGAGGCCTGAAGTTGATGCCAGATAACATCTTCAATAGACTTCTACTTTATTCATAGAGGCAGGGTCTCTCATTGAACCTAGAGCTCACCAATCCTGGGTAGGCTAGATAGCCAGCTTGCCCCTGAAATCCATTATTTCCGCCTCCTCAGTACTGGGATTACATGTGGCCACCACACTTGCTTGTTTGTTTGTTTGTTTTTTCAACGTATTTTATTTTTGAGATTATATTACACTATTTCTCTCTTCCCTTTCCACCCACCAAGCCTGCTTTTGCCCCTCTTTTCTCTCTTTTAAATTCATGACTGTTGCACAAATCCTAATTGGTCTTATAATAAAAACCCAGAGCCAGATACTGGGGTAAATGCTGAAATAAAGGAACAAGCCACTAGAGAAACTTCTCATCACCACCAAATCCTGGGACCGAAAGGGAGGTGAGAGCCTATCTCCACAAATCCTCAGACTGAATGCCAAGCTCCTGTCTCCTCTTGCCTTATATTCCTTTCTCTGCCCAGCCATATCACTTCCTGTCTCAACCTTCCTAATACTGGGATTAAAGGCATGTGACTCCCAAGTACTGGGATTAAAGGTGTGCGCCACTACTGCCTGGACTCTATGTTTAATCTAGTGGCTGGCTTTGTCTTCTGACCTTCAGGCAAATTTTATTTTTTATTGTTTATTATTAATGAATACAAACAAAATATTATCAGACATGACCCCTTTTTTTTCATTAATTGTTGTTACGTGCTACCCATATATACATATATTCCTAAATATTGGCTGGCTTTAATGTGGGTTCTTGGGGTTCAAACTCCAATCTTCATTATTGCATAGAAGTGTTTGATCCACTAAGCCATCTCCCCAGTCTGGTATTTATCTTTCCAAGTCTGACTTCTCTCACTCAATATGATGGTCTCTAGTTCTATCCACTATCCTGAAAATGGCAGAATTTCATTCTACTTTATGGCTCAGTAACAGTTCATTGACTGACTCTAGAGCTCAGTTGATAGAATGCTTGCCTAGCATGCACAAGACCCTATGGTTTGATCTCCTTAAAACCGAGTGTGGTGATGCAGGTTGGTAATGATAGCACGTGGGATATGGAGGAAGGAAGATAAAAAAATTAAAGGCATCCTCAGCTACAAAATGAGTTTGAGACCAGCCTGGGCTACATAAAACCCTGTCTCCAAAATAAAAATTTCTGGCCGTGGATCTCTGCATCGGGTGGAGCTCTGGGAGTCCAATAGGCGAGAAAGAGGAGGGTTTATATGAGCGAGAATTGTTGAAACCAAGGTTGGATAAAGCACAGGGACAAATAGCCAAACAAATAGAAACACATGAACTATGAACCAAAGGCTGAGGGGCCCCTAACTAGATCAGGCCCTCTGAATAGGTGAGACAGTTGATTGGCTTGATCTGTTTGGGAGGCATCCAGGTAGTGGAACCCGGTCCTGTGCTCAGTGCATGAGTTGGCTGTTTGAAACCTGGGGCTTATGCAGGGATGCCTGGCTCAGCCTGGGAGGAGGGGACTGGACCTGCCTGGACTGAATCTACCAGGTCAAACTCAATCCCCAGGGGAGGCTTTGCCCTGGAGGAGATGGGAATGGGGGGTGGTCTGGGGGGAAGAGGAGGGGGCAGGATGGGGGAGAACAAGGGAATCCATGGCTGATATGTAGAATTAAATTATATTGTAAAATAAAATAAAAAATAAAAATAAAAAATAGAAATTTCTTTTGTCTATATATGCTACATTTTCTTCATCCATTCATAAGATGATGGGCATCTGGGCAAATTCTACAATTTGACTTCTGTGGAAATTGTTCTTCTTTTAGGTTAACATACAAGTACAAGCATTTACAAAAGAGTATGATCATGTGATACATATATATACACACTGTATTATGATTAAATCAAGAAAATTAGCATTTTAACCATCTTAGCATTTACCATTTCCTTGTGTTGGGAAGCTTCCAATTTATCTTTCCCAGTTCTTTATAATATGTATGGAATATTGTGAACTACAGTCACATGCTATTATAGAATATAAGAACTGATTCTTCCAGTGTAACTTTGGTACCCATTATCCAAGCTCCTTCCTCCTGATCCCACATTAATACTCAATTCCACAGTCTATGAGCTCAATAATTCCATTGGTATTACTGAAAAATTCTTTTCCATTTATCTTACCCACCTTGTAAAACTTCAAGTTTGGAAGACTGCCAGCCTTATGATACCTGTGGGAAGAAAAAACACGACATACTATTTTGGTGCAACTATAAATACAAAATATTTAACATTAATATGGAGAAAGTCCTAAAGCCTGGGCATTGATCTTTCCTTTTATGTGTTAGTCTATCAGTCACTGAATTTCCCTTAAACCTGATACTTTATTTTTATTTTTTGTCATTTCCACTTTTAGTTCCACTTTTTGTTGCTGTGATAAAATACTCTGGCAAAAGCAATGGATATCTTACAATTCCATTATATTATAGTCCATGACTGCAAGGAAGTCAAAGCAGATATTTACATGCACAGCCAAAAGCAGAGGAATAAAAGCTCATACTCTGACACACTCATGTTCCCTTAAAACTTTCCCAGTACTTCATGGGGAAACTGTAAACTAGCCTGAAGTTTTAGGGGTCTAGTTGACATACTTAGACATATCTTAGACTCTGTAAATTTCTTCCAATTATGTTGATATTTCCTTTATCTCCCAATCTGAGATCTTCCCCATCTTCCTATTTTGTAACCTCATGCCAAGAAGTCCCTCAATCTTCAACAACTTTTTCTAGGGAATCTTTCCTTCGGCATAAAGCCATGTTTACGTTTCTCTGAACTACATAGAAACTCCTTGCCTAACCTTTTCTGCCCCTTCCTCTTAGTACAAACTGCTCAAAAAGGGACATCTACATGATGTTTTTCTGGAGCATCTTACCTCCAAGCAGCTCCTCGGACTATTTGGAACCTTTGTATGTTGTCATCATTCTGTGGCTCCTTCCCTTGAAAAAGTCACAATGACCCTTTGTTATTAGATCCAAAAGGAACTTTTCACACAATCTCTAAGTGGGAAGCTTTTTTTTTTTTTGGAGGCAGGTTCTGGCTCCACATAATCCTTGTTAGCCTTCAACTTGCTGTATAGCCCAGACTGGCCTCAAACTCACAATCCTCCTGTCTCAGCCTCAGCCTCTCAAATGAATTATCACATGTAGCATAATTATAAATATCATGAATACACAGCATGTACATCTGATACAATTCAACCCATACATTGATATGTGCTACTAACAAACAATTTCTAGAATGTATTTTTTAAATGTAAATAACTATAGAAACAATAATGGCTATGAATAAAAAATTTGATAGGTTTTTATATTTTCAGGATAAACAAATAATGTCTTTAAGATTAGTATATTTAACCACATTTCAACATTTTACAATGCACACACATATCAAAACATCAAGGGTCACATGGTTCCTGCTATGGCTTGAATCTGAACTGTCCCCCACAGGCTTATGTTTTGAATTCTCAGTCCCCAACTTATGGCAGTATTTTGAAGGCATAGAGCCTTTAGCAAGAGGGTCCTTACTAGCAGAAGGAAATCACTAGGAATAGGCAATGAGAACATTGTCACCACCTCTGGTTCCAGATCACCTGTCTCTGCTTCCTAGTCTGCCCACATGCATACAACTGCTGTCTCCCAATCCCAAAGCCAAGAATCCTACCAGGATAGAAGGTAACATTGTGAAACTGTAGCTAAGTAAACTTTCCCTGCCTTAAATCATTTCTATGATATTTTAATCCTAGTTATGCAAACATAACTAATACATTATTCTATAAATAATATAAAACTTGTTGTTATATTAGCTAAAAACAAATTTAACTTACATAAAAATATTAATTTGGGGGCATAGTATATAATAACTTTTGTGTCTATATAATGCTTCAGGTTGTTGATAAATTTTATCCTTTTTATATCTTTTTAAATTTTTGAGAATTAAATATATTTGTGAAGTGGAATGTGATGTCTTGATGTATTCTCTGTCATGAAATCCTAGTCCTTGCCTTAATTCCTATCGCTTATATGGTCCACCAGCTTTGAAGATAATTCTCCCTCTAGTGACACAAAGGATACAGGGTACAGAAACAAGGACAGAAACTGGGATTTTCTAACAAAAAGGAAATAATTTGGCAGTATAATTGGGGGGAGGTGTGAGAAAGAAAACAGATGAGAGAAACAAATGCCAAGGGAAGAAAGAGAGAATAGACAGTCTGAGACATAAATAACAGAGGAAGAAATGAAAACTGAAATGTAAACGGAAAGGGAGGAAAGAAGATTCAGACTGAGGAGGAAGAGGAGCAGGTAGAGAAGAAGGAGGTAGAGGAAGAGGAAGGACATTCAGATGAACAGAGAAAGAAAACGATCTCAGGGTTCCCACAGATCATAATCTTTTGCTTCAAAAAGTATCATATACACAACATAAAATAGACCTTCTGACCCATTCCTCAGTGCCTGGCCCAGTGGTATTAATTATCTTCATATTGTTGTGCAACCATCACCACCATTCATCTCAAGAACTGTCCCTTCGGAAACAGAGACTCTTTTCCTATTACACACTAACTCTTTATCCCTCTTCCCAGGCCAGGACACCCACTGTTCTATTTTCTACTTCTATAAATGTGACTACACTAGGGATAGCTGTATGTAGAAACAGATAGCATTTATCTGTTATGATTGGCATACCTTGCTCAACAAAATATTTCAATCATGTTGTACTATATGTCAGAATTTCTTTTTTTTTTAATTTTTTTTTCAGAGCTGAGGACTGAACCTGGGGCCTTGTGCTTGCTAGGCAAGCACTCTAACACTGAGATAAATCCCCAACCCCTTTTCTTTGCTTTTTAAGGCTGGTTCCTATTGCAGCCACACATAATCTTACACTGTAAAGGGTGAGAATGCTGGTAACTCATAGCCCACTCTGGTCCCTGCATAGTGTCCACTGAAAGCTGCTGATCACTTGCAGAACATCCCACAGCACACAGATAATCGCAGTAGACATGGAACCAGGAACAGAACTCCATCTGTGCCTGGGAACTAAAGTTGACATCCTGGCTCCAGTCAGCCCTGCTGCTCACACTCAGCATTATGGTCCTTGTTTTCATTCCTGAGAATAGATTAAATTCAAGATAAATCCACTTCAGCCAAGGGAACACAGAATGTCAAACATCTGTATATAACAAGGTTGAGGCAATGTCTTGCATAAAAAGACTGTATTATCAAATTAGCATATATTGGGCCTGAAAGATAGCTCAGTGGGTCAGGGTGCTTGATTCCAAGCCTGACAACATAAATTCTATGCCTAGGACCCATATGGTAGAAGGAGAGAATGTCCTCTGATGTTTGCATGCAGATACATACAATAAATAAAATGTTCTTTTAAATTAATATGTTAATTGCACAAAGGAATGGGTTTATGATATTCCCTACTATATTTTCCCCTAGCTTCCATGTGTGACAGAAAACATGAATTTTTTTCTTTGGAGACTAGTTTATTTCATTTCATTACTATGATTATTTAGTATAGTGACCCTTGTCCATTCTTTTCTGCAAATGACATATTCTTTATGGCTGGATAGAGTCCCACTGTATCTATTTACCACATCCTCTGCTAATGGGTACACAGGCTGGTTGTACCATAGCTACTGTGAAGAATGAGGTAACAAACATGAGTATGTAGGTATGTAATATGTAGCAAGCTTGTATAGTTTTTGTCAAATTGGCACAAGCTAGAGCCATCTGTGAAGATAAAACCTCAACTGAGACAATGTCTCCATAACTTGGCCTGGAGACAAGCCTGTGGGGCACTTTAATAATTATGATTGACGTGGGAGAACCCATACCACTGTGGGCAGTGCCACCCTGTGCTGTGGATATCGCTCTATATAAATAAAACACTGATGGCCAGTGACCAGGCAGGAAGTATAGGCAGGCGAGGAGAATTGGGGAAACAGGAAGAAGGAGGGGAGTCACTGCCAGCCACCGCCAGGACAAGCAGCATGTAAAGACACTGGTAAGCCACGAGCCACATGGCAGGGTATAGATTTGTGGAAATGGATTAATTTAAGCTATAAGAACAGTTAGCTTTTTTTAACTGGACTAGAGAATTCACAAAACAAGAAATACAAATGGCTGAAAGACATTTAAAGAAATGCTCAACATCCTTAATCATCAGAGAAATGCAAATCAAAACGACTCTGAGATACCACCTTACACCTGTCAGAATGGCTACGATCAAAAACACCAATGACAGTCTATGTTGAAGAGGATGTGGAGCAAAGGGAACACTCCTCCACTGTAGGTGGGAATGTAAACTTGTACAACCACTGTGGAAATCAGTAT